TCGAGCCCCAACCCCGGGCCTGGCTCCAGGGTGGGGCCCCGGCTGCGCCATGCCGGGCAACGTCACGGTCCTTGATTTTAATCTATTCATAAAGGGCTTTTGAACTGCTCTTAGTCTGACCTGTCACCCAGGACCTGTTTGCCTTGGGAGACCCTACCAGGGACATATAGCCCCCGACAACATAGCTCCTAGGATCACTCGGGTACTCAAACCCCTCCACCACAATAAGGTGGTGGTTCAAGGAGGGGGAGAGTATCACCATTTATAAAATAAAATACTGCTGATTGGCAAATGCCACGAAGTTGTTTTTCAGATTTGACTATACTATGCAAAAAATAAAGGCCCTAATAGGAAATGGTTTGGAAATTAAAGTTGAATGACCTTGTTTTGAGAGATATTGTATATCTCAGCACAAGAGGAGACTAAATTGCAAAATAATAAGGTCATGCAGTCAGTTAGGGTAAACGTACCGGTAGCCGACTCTGCGGGTGTAATGCAGGCAGTTCTTGGTTACATGTGACTGGAAGTGGACAGATCGGCAGCTGGCGCCACACTCAGGGCAGATGTAAGGAGACTTGTGCTGGTGGATTCGCTGGTGTGACAAAAAGCTGCACTGATTTGGGAGAAGCATTTGACAAATGGTGCATGTTTTCTGTGGGCACAGAAAAGAAGATAAGAAAGCATCATGGTGCTGGAATGATCACGTTAAGAAAGGCCGCAGTACCTTATGTTCCATAATGTAGGATATTCTTCAATAGTGAATAAGAGTCAGTTGTTTTTCACTGTGTGAAACATTTTTGATTTATGTGCCCAAGGACTGAACACTGATTTGATAAAGACAGCAAGAAAGAAAATCCTCATAAAATCCTCGAAACATTGTGCTGCAGCAGAGGATGTCTCAAAACCTTGGCAAGTAAACCTAATGACACTAAAAGTAATTAAAAAAGAATGTGATTTCACTGAAGGGACCTTTTACGTTAATGCATACATACAGTACATGGACATACCTGCCCAGTAGACTCCGGTGCCTGTTGATAGTGAATGGCTAGTGAGCTGTCATCCTGGAACAGTTCATTACACTCCAAGCACTTCAGGCTATGTCTGCAGAGTTTCGATGCATCATCCTCTAGTGAGAGGAGTGCTGCATGGAACTGAAATCACTGCATTTTGGGACACACCACTAGCAGCTTTTGCTGGGATTTGACTTGTAGGTGGCAGGGCTTGGGAAGTGGAGGAAGTGTCGGTGATATTGGGTGGGCCTGATGGTGGTGATGTGGTTATCATCTGATCTGCTGGGATGGGTTTTAGGATTAGATGTGAGCACTGCATGACCACCCCTTTGTCCTTGTGGCCCCTGGCATGTGACAAGAGGCTGCATTTGTTGTAGAACACAAGACTTTTGGCACAGTGGTTGCAGGTGACCTCAATCCGCACACTACGACGTTCATAGTGCTGTGTCAGGCTCTTCTCAAGAGCAAATGAATCACCACACTCCAGGCACTTGTAGCCACGTGAGGGTAGAGAGATGCATGCTGATGTTGGTGGAGAGAGGTTTGGGATGTATACTGGGACAGGATTTATGCTACTCAGGACTTTATTGAAGGCTTCCACTACAGAGCTTTGGGAGCTTGTGAAAACCTGAACCCTAGAGACTTTCTTTGAGGCCTGGCCAGCGAGAATTGTCTGCTGCTTGACTTGATGTTGTGATTGTTGATGCTGGGAATGTTTGGAGGAGGAGAGGGCCTGTTGAAGATCACAGGCAGCAGAGGATACAGTCTGAGGCAGAAGACTGAGGTTACTTAGATGGACCGTCTTTGGCACAAGTTTGGTATTAGCCAGACTGGAAGCTGGTACCATAACAGTCTGCTGCTGGATGGCATTAGCCGCTTTTAAGATGGCGCTGCTAGCACTTTGCACTGATGCGGCTGGGATAACTGTTGCTTTTACTGTGGTGTTGTTTGCCAGTTTAAGGTTGATGACTTGTGAACCAGCTGTCTTGACTGCAGAGACGGGCAGGAAAGCAGTCGCCACAGGTTTAATAGTCATTTGCTTGGTTATTTCAATTGAAGGACCTCCAGTGGTGGCTACCACTGTGGTTGGCAAAGAGGGCTTTGTGGGAGATGAGAAAATTGCATTAGTGGTTGCCATAACAGATAGGCTGTTCTCTACTTTTTTCAGACCCTCAGGATCAAACTCTGGGAGGACTCGGGTGACAGTATGCTTGATTTGTCCCGATGAGGTCTTGATTGTTTTGATCCTGACCTTTGGGATAACTAAAGTGGTGTCTGTGCCTGAGGCAGGGGAGCCTTTGCTGCTACCCTCACTGGTGACACTAGAGGGGCTGTCTGATGGTCTTGTTAGTAGTCTCTTGGCAATTTCTAGGGCTGACTCCTGTTCCTGTGACTTCTCTGAAGCTCTGGGACTTTCATTGGCCTGGATGGATTTTTTCTGTGTTGTAGAAGAGTCCAAAACACCCAGGTTTGTAGCATTAGCCTTTTTGGCACTGAGGGCTGCTATGGCTGCTATACAAGAAGAAAGTTTTACAGAGGATTTTGCTTTAGCCTGGGGGATACTGGACATATTAACAAGCCCTGATGATTCTTCAGATTCCTTGCATTCCTGACTTTGAGAATTGAGGACAGTTTCTTTGAGTTCGTCCTTGGTTAAACTTGACTGAGGGGTGTTGTTAGACTTTGAGCCTCCAAGTGTGCTATTGTTGTTGTCTTGATCATGTTTTTGGTCTCTGTTTGTTTGTTGCTTAGAAACAATGTCCACTGATACTGGGGATTTGAGATTCTGGGCCTCCCTTTTAGTAGCTGACTTAAAAAATGACTTACCAGCTTGCTTGTCCATGGGGTCATCTACCTCAATTTTATCATCATCGTCAAACTCTTCAGCACTGGAGATGGGGCTGAACTGATTGAAGGTAGATGATTGGTTGTTAATTGGTTGTCCTTCCTTGGGAGCTTTCCATCCGTTCTTGGTGTAATGGGTACCAGGTGGTATGCCAGGCAAGAAGCCATTATGAAGTCTGTTGTCAGAGCCATCAGAATGGGGTTTAGAATGGGGGTGGAAATGTCCATCCCTCTCTGATATGGTTCCATCATGCTGACTAGTGTTTGTGTTTCGGATGTTCTTGACGATAACACTAACGCCAATGTCATGTCCTGTTGAGGGGTTGTGGTCATCGTCTTCATTAGTAGTCACCCCACTGGGTTGCTTGAGATGCCCTTCATGGTCATCGTGGTGACCAGATTCAATAGCAGCTTTAGGATCCACCATGTCAGGGATGTCGAAGGCTGCCAGCAGGTCATCAAAGTCTGGCGTCTTCATATCTCCCATGGTCCTGCTCCTGTTCTTATAAGGAGATTGCCTAGGTAAAATAGAAAACATGGAAGAATAATGAATAATTTAAGTCACTGGTGTCATCTACATTTTTTTCTGTATCTTCAACATGCTATACATGACATTGCATGCTTTGTGTAATAGTTATGTTTATATCTGAATAAAATCATTGCAATATATCAGAATGCTGAAGACAGAATTTCATGTAATCACATTGTTATTGTTGCTGCGGTTCCCTGATAGTCTAGTGGTTAGGGCGCAGCGCTCCCACTGCTACGGCCCGGGTTCGAGTCAGGGTTGCGTCAGGAAGGGCATCCGGCGTTAAACACGTGCCAAATGTCAACATGCGACTCATCAGTGTGACGATTAGCTGTGGCGACCCCTGACGGGAAAAAGCCAAAAGTGACATTCATACGTTGTTATTGTTGCTGCAACACACTGTCTTACATGGCAAGAACTGGTCTGACTCATTTCTCTTTGTTAAAAAAAAAGCATAACAAATCACAGATACAGCTAGTCCTTTGTGGTCTGGTGAGAAATGTTCTCATTATCTTGGCAGTAGCTGTGTGTGGAGTTGGTGTTGGTGCAGTTCTCTCTACTCTGATAGTATTTGTGCAAATAAAATTTTTCATGTATTGGTCCAGCTCTAAAGGTTAGGTGTAATGAATGGCATCAGTCATCACATCAGCTATCACTCTGAGTCCACCCTTAGTTCCAAATGAGTTGTTTTTTTTGGTGATGGGAAGCAACTGGGCAATTCCTGTTAAGAGCTGAATTTGCCTCATGGAGAAAATCATATATTTAAATAAATCTGTCTGGGCTGGTAAAGAAAATAAAACAACATCCACTTGTTAAAAGGTGAAAATTTTATTGAAAATCTGGGATGATTTGATGTGGTAAGGTGGATGTACATTTCAGCCAGTATAAATTATTAATAGTGCCCTTTATATTCACTAGACTGCAGACTGTTGACTATAATAGACAGTTTAAGTATTTCCTGTTACAGGGAATAACAGGCAATATCAGTAGATTATAGGCAAGATAGATGTCAGTGATACCAGTGTCTCAGGACTTTCTGATTTATGTGATTGTTTTCATCTGACCAGTAATGAAGAGCTATGATGATTTACACTAAATGCAATGACTGTAAAAAGAGTAGAGCAGAGTAAAGCCCCGAGGGAAACAAGGGAATGATATAATAGTACTAATAAACAATAATGTGATTGATTAATAATATTTTTGTTATGGAAGTGTAAAAAAGATAAGGATGTTATATTAAAGACAAAGTCATTACTATAATTGAAAAGTGTTTTCTTTTTAATTGCACTATGGGAAAGGTCCTAGCTGTACATTGCATGTTGCTGTATCACAAATTCATTTTTGATTAATAATGTGACAATATTTTGTGTATGATTTATGGTGGATTTGGATCTCAGCACATAAACATCATTCAATTGACCTTTAGTCTTGCAGTTTTATTTCTTACCACATGGTGCACCATTGTCTGCATACAGTACAGCCTAAGAAATACCATGCTAACCATGGCTTAGACACTGCTTTCTAGTGCTTGATATTTCATTTATGCATGAGCAGACAGCACAGTCTCTCCCCTTTCCACCTAAATTAAACCGTACAACACACTGATGCACAATTCCCTGAAGAAATGAACCCAGCTCATACACAGTATGTACTGTACATACAAGTGTGCCCAATTAGCCCCAGGTCTGCTATATTTGTCCTTTTATTGACCTGTTTTCAGAGAGAAATACCAGGGAACCACGGGGGGTAGATATGACATTTTGATGACATTAAATGCTCAGTCACTACGTACTCAGCATTGCTCAAATGAAAACAAATGGAATGGGGAGAAAAACAATAGTATAGCCTGCCAATGAAAACCATTTTTACATGTCTTGAAAAGCTGCTGATGAAACAATGCAAGGCCTTGTTCCTTGTTTTTAATTTGTATTTTCTGATGTACAATTAGGTGAATGATGGGATTAATACATTGTGGAAGATGAGTATAATTGTAATGTTAGTAATTCTATCAATGGACTGGCACTCACTAGTTAGTTGTGTGAGTGAAGAAAACACATGACCAAGACTTAAATGATGACAGATGAAAAGTGTTTTGATAAGGCCATACTAAAAATATCTAAAGGTGGAACCGTTTCAAACAACCATATGTTTATTTATCAGAAACAGTCCATGTTCATTGAACATGTTCTTGGTCATGAATTCCATAAGCTAAATGGCTTGGAGCATCGTGAAACATAAGAAAAGCTTTGCTTTCAGTGGGTTATAATTCTTCAGAAACTAACTAGTCTTTATTTATTTAACAATGAGCACTATGAATAAAATATGATGGACTGAAATGCATTTTTGTCTGTATATGTTATGGGTGTTGAATCGAAAGGCACAGCCAGGGAGCGCTTCTGCTTGTACATGCAGCTAAACCAGTACTGCTCTTTGATCCAAATGCATGATAACCACATCTGCACACACAGACCCAAATCTTATAAACTCAGCTTTGACTTAAAAAGCAACAATTATCAGTCTAATGATGATAAAAATGTGACAGAGGGAGAAATGTTATGGAGGGAGAGGGCATGCGAGAAATGCAGTGAAGGGAAAAAATGGCTGCTGAGCTGTTTGAAGCTGCAGCAGAGAGGCCTTGTGGAAAGAACAGCTAGCCACAGCCATGACAGTCCGAGCAGCCTGACGTAGAAAGTAAATGAAGGTTAAATACATATAAATAGTAAAAATACACAACACAGAACCCCTCTCAACAACAGCAGTTTAATACACATGCATTGTAACCATCTGAAGTCCACACTGTCTAAAAGACTGCTACAATCTCAGTAAAGTGAATGCAAAATAACAGTGGTGGAAACATGCAAGTGAATCAGCCACTCCTCACCCTCTTGCCTTCGTCCCTCTCCAGCCACTAGCCAAACCTTCCTTCCTTCCTTCCTGCAACAAACAGTCACAATACTACTAACCCACAAAAAGCCATCCACCCCACCCTGCCAGGAAAAAAGTCCTGTTTCTTCCCAACCAGGCAAAGGCCCGGAATTCAGGGTCAGGTTACATCCAGGGATCTGGTGAATGGTGGTCCTGGTAAGGATCCTCGTTTAGTACTCTCTGCACCACTAGTAGCACACAGACATACAAACAGACAGACAGATCATGCTGCTGTGTGTGTGTGTGTGTATGTGTGCGTGTAAGGCAGGTTCTAAGGCTGCAGATTCACAGACTCCCAGCCAGCCACGTCCCCCTGCCCTTGTCCTTTCCCAAATCTCAGTGCTCCCCTCGCTGCGAGGCATGCTGCGCAGCACACCGACATCCAGCCAACAGCGAGGAGCAGCAGCTGAATCTCTGCCTGTGCCTGTGCCACGGTAGCCAGAGGCTAAACTGTGAAAGGCTGCCATGGAGTAGCCTGGGCTATCTCTATCCCTCAGTGGAGCACAGAGACGCCATTGTTCCTGTCAGCCCTCCGTCTGCCTCAAACCGGTTTCAGCTGGTTCCAGTCACCCAACATAAAGCTCTGTGCTGCAGTACGGCCTCAGAAACACAGGCAGAAGTAGTGTGCCCACCTCCCAGGAAACACTGCAACATTCTTCACCAAACTGCATGTATATTGTCAAATAAATGTCATCAAAAAAGAAAATGTTATTTTATAGACAGAATGGGAAATGGTTAAGTGTGATTCCCCAGTGTGGTGGCTTGCACCACCATGAAAGTAGGCCACAAAAATACAACAACAATGCACACAAAGATGTTGAATTACCTTGTTACTAACATAAAGAAACAGGACAGCAGTAAATAAAATGACACAATGTAAACAAAAAGCTATGTTACATGAAGTAAGGTTTGAAAAGAAATATGAATGATGACTGATGATAACACCAATTGAATACACAGAGAAGAACAGGAAAGTTTAGGTAAACATGATGCTAGTAGAAGCTCAGTCTGGTACTTTGTCCTGTTCCTTAAGTGGATGCCCCACTGTTTTCTACCTGGACACGGTGTCCCCCTGAAACCTAAGACTTTCATCCAGCCCCAGCAGCATTACCCCCAGTACTGTGATATAAGGAATATAAAAACAAAGACAGTCTGACATGGAAAAACACAGGGCATTCATTCCCCTCCCTCACCAAATCAAACATGCCACTCCTTCCCCACATATTGTAGTGATACACATATACATTAACATGCACATTCATGCATATATAGAAGTAAATGTGGCATACCCTTGTCAGATTTTTTTCCCACTGTGAGAGATATTCAGGACAAAAAGTCTTCCTGTAGAGGCCTCAGCACCTGCCTTTATTCAGACCCCATCTTCCTCCTCCCCTCCCCCTCTTCCCACTCTCCTTCACTGGGTCAGTCCTAGATTTTAGTCCCAGTCCAGGCCTCGTTTTCTCCCGAAGCCCCTGCCACCTCCACCACCACGGCAGTGCATAAAGGGAT